TGGCGCCTCTTGGGCCGTCTTGGCGCCCTCTTCGGCCGTTTTGGGGCCTTCTTGGGGGCCTTCTTGGGGCGCTCTTGGGGGCCTCTTGGACAGTCTTGGACGCCTCTTGGCCCGTCTTGGCGCTCTCTTGGGCTATTTTGGGGGCCTATTGGCAACATCTTGGGCCGTCTTGGGGCGGTCTTGGGAGCCTCCTGGACCGTCTTCAACGCAATGAAATGCGAAAAGCCGCATATGCTAAAAATGTACGTTTTCCTTCAGAAAATCAATGGTTTTGGCTTCTTGAAGCCCTCTTGGGACGCCTCGTGGGCGCCTCCTGGGGCGTCGTGGAGGCCTCTTGGGACGTCTTGGGGCCGCCTTGGGCGGTCTTGGGCTCTCTTGGAGCGCTCTGAGGCCGTCTTGGGCGTTTCTTGGGCCGTCTTGGGTGCCGTCTTGGCCGCTTCTTGGGCTGTCTTAGGCGCCTACGACGGCCCAAGAAGCGCCCAAGAAGCGTTTTCCGATGATGTCTCGAGCGAAACGCTGTTTTTAAGCCCCGAAGGCCGTCCTACTCGATAAAAAACGAAGCGGTTGGGGCCTTCTTGGGGCCGTCCTGGCGCTGTCTTGGACCGTCTTGGCGCCTCTTGGGCCGTCTTGGCGCCCTCTTGGGCAGTTTTGGGGCCTTCTTGGGGGCCTCTTGGGCTTTCTTGGGGCGCTCTTGGGGGCCTCTTGGACAGTCTTGGACGTCCTTTGCCCGTCTTGGCGCCCTCTTGGGCTATTTTGGGGGCATCTTGGCAACATCTTGGGCCGTTTTGGGGCGGTCTTAGGGGCCTCTTGGACCGTCTTCAACGCCATGAAAAGCGAAAAACCGTATATGCTAAAAATGCACGTTTTCCCGCAGAAAATCAATGATTTTGGCATCGGGGGGCCATCTTGGGACGCCTCGTGGGCGCCTCCTGGGGCGTCGTGGAGGCCTCTTGGGACGTCTTGGGGCCGCCTTGGGCGGTCTTGGGCTCTCTTGGAGCGCTCTTGGGCCGTCTTGGGCGCTTCTTGGGCCGTCTTGGGCGCCGTCTTGGGCGCTCCTTGGGCTGTCTTAGGCGCCTAAAACGGCCCAAGAAGCGCCCAAGAAGCGTGTTCCGATGATGTCTCGAGCGAAACGCTAATTTTAAGCCCCGAAGGCCGTCCTACTCGATAAAAAACGAGGCGGGAGGGCAATTAGATCTCGGGCGTCGCGATGCCAACCCCCTCGAACTCCCCCAAGTCCAATTTCTTCCGACTAACGGACCGCACGCTAACGCGCGCTTTCCGTCATCCGCCGCCCCCTGTCGATTCATCGCAGGGGTGCCTGGCGTGCCGAATCCTATCGGTTTTGGTTGTGTTTCTTTTTCCAAAAGAACTCACCCTGGCGGTTCGGCCCGTCCCGCCAGGGCCCCCCAAAGATCCATAAAACGCCCAAGCCTTCGCCCAATTCCCAAATGTTCCTCCAAGACGGCTCAAGATGGCCTCCAAGATGACCACGTTGGCCCAAGATGGCCTCCAAGATGCTCCCAGATGGCCTCCAAGTCCGCCGAAGATGTTCCAAGACGGCCTCCAAGACGGCCTCCAAGACGGCCTCAGAGAGTCCAAGATAACCCCAAGTTCGCCCGAGAAGCCTCCAAGAACCCTCCAAGACGGCCCAAGAGGCTTCCAAGAGGTCCTCCAGGAGGGCCCGGAGATGCCAAAATCATTGATTGTCCTTAGATGTTTGAAGGATTTTGGAATTTGCTTCTTCTCGGCATTCCGACGGCTCAAGACGGCCCAAGAGGCCCCCAAGATCGCCCAAGAGGCCCCCAAGAGGGCCCTATGACGACCCAAGAGGCCTCCAAGACGGCCCCAAGAGGGCCCCAAGACGGCCCAAGCGGCCTCCAACACGCCCAAGATGGCCTCCAAGACGCCCAAGATGGCCTCCAAGACGGCCCCGAAGCGCCCCAAGAGGACCCCAAGTCGCCCCAGAAAGGCCCCCCAGACGGCTCCCGACGGCGTCAGACGTGCCAGGAACCCACCAAGATGGCCGAAGGTGGCTCGAAGCTGGCCCAAGACGGCCCAAGAGGCCTCCAAGAAGGCCTCCAGGAAGGCCAGAAGAGGCCAAGAACATGTAGTTTCCAACGGTTTTTGAAGGATTTTGACATTTGCTTCTTTTCGGCCTTCCGACGGCCCGAGACGGCCCAAGAGCCCCCAAAGATCGCCCAAGAGGCCTCCAAGATGGCTCCAGAACGGCCAAAGAGGGCCCCAAGACGACCCCAAGAGGCCCCCAAGACGGCCCAGGATGCCTCCAAGAGGGCCCTGGAGCATTCCAAGAAGGCCCCAAGTCGGCCCACAGAGGCCCCCCAAACGGCTTCCGACGGCGTCAGTCGGACCAGGAGCCCACCAAGACGGCCGAACATGGCCCTAAGATGGCCCAAGACGGCCCAAGAGGCCTCCAAGAGGGCCTCCAGGAAGGCCCGAAAAGGCCAAAATCAGTTCCCATGGGTTTTTGAAGGATTGTGGCATTTGCTTGTTGTTCGGCCTTCCGACGGCCCGAGACGGCCCAAGTGCCCCCAAAGATCGCCCAAGAGGCCCAAGACGGCCGGCCCCAAGAGGGCCCCAAGACGGCCCAAGAGGCCTCCAAGACGCTCAAGATGGCCTCCAAGACGGCCCAAGAGCCCTCCAAGACGTCCTCCAAGAAGGCCCGAAAGGGTCAAAATGGCCTCCAGACGGCCAAGATGACCTTTAAGATGCCCACGTGTTCCCCGAAGGCTTTCGAAACCGATTCGGGGAACACATGGTCCGATAGCTTGGCAGGTCTGGCCTCAACGCTCGGCCACACAGGCGTTTCCAGAAAGGCAGGGGGCGGCGGTGATTCGCCGTAGGCGTCTTCGATAATAGCATACACATGTGTGTACAACTGGGTACCCATATGTCCGCCACCGTGCCTCGAGGAACCGGTTGGAGTGTCATCATGCCTTTCGAGCCCTCAGTCCTGAGTCCTCAGTCCTGGGTCCTAAATAATGTTAAGGGCCTGGCCGCAAATTGCTGGGGTGTGTCGCGTGTTCTCGCGTGCCTGCTGGGGCTCCTCAGAAAACTCCCCCGCTGGTCAGAGAGCCCACAGAAGCCAGGCCAACAGGGGCTGAAGAGGTTACAGTCAACCCGTATCATGATAAGGATGCGCGGTAAGGATACAAAGGCCTTGGAGGGCCACGTAAGCGATTTTCGAACGAGGTTGGCCAGCGAGAGTCGCTAAGGATGGGCCGAAGGGAGAAGGATGCAAGGGCACCCTTGGGAAAGTTGCCCATCCTTGCTATGCGGGATGACTATACCAAGACAGTCCAAGAGGCGCCCGAGACAACCCAAGAGCGCTCCCGGCGCCCGATTGGGGGATCCAAAACGCATCAAGAAGGCCCAGGCCAGGAGGACCACCAAGCGGGCTCCAAGAGGCCAACATCGTCTGATTCCTCCGGCTTTCGAATGCGTTTAGCATGGTCGCGATGTCGGTCTTAAGAGCGCCCAAGCTGCCCAAGAGGGTCCCGTGATGGCCCCCAGACGCCCCAACAGGCCCCCAAGAGGGCCCCAAGCGGGCCCAGGAAGCCCCCCAGACAGTCCCAGCAGCCCCCCAAGACAGCCCCAAATAGGGGAACACGAACTGACACGTCGAGCCCTCCAGCCCATGATGACCCCAGAATCCCCCCAGAGACCCCCGTGCAGCCTCCAAGAGGCTCAGAGAGGCCTCCAGGAGGCCCCCGGCGCTGGAAGGCCCCAAAGGCCCCCAGGGAACCCATTCATGAACCCCCAAGAGCTCTCCATGAGACCCCCAAGAGGCATCCCAAGAGACCCAAATATGTATCCAAGAGGTCTCTGACCCACAACCTGGGCACGGTGTCCGGATGGGCCGAAGGCCACTAGACATCTATATGGATCGAAATTGGGGGGGAGGCCGATGTGAAACGACGCCCCCGAACCGTGAAATCGGTTTCGGTTGGGGTTCGTGTCATGTATGTGACGCGCGTGCGGGCGAGGCGAAACGAAGCTGCGCGAGTTCCTGCCTCACGCTGGCCCATGTGAGGACATTTTGTCTCCACCCCCCACGGCGGCTGGGGCGTGCCTGGGGTCTGTCCCGCGGTTGTCTGTGGTTGACCTGCGGTTGTCCCGCGATCGTCCTTTGGTGTCCTGTGGTTCTCCCGCAGCTGTCCCGTAATTGTCCCGACGGCTGTCCCGTGATTGCCCCGCGGTTCTCCCGCGGTTGTCCCGCGGTTGCCCCGCGGTGGTCCCGTGGTGTGCCCGGATCTGCTCCGCGGCTGTCCCGCGGTTATGCTGTGGTTGTCGCGCGGTGGTCCCGCGGGGGTCCCGCAGTTGACATCGACCCTCGATCATCGATCCCCCCTGACCACCGCGACAGCGACGACGACGACGACAACGACGACGACGACGACGACGACGACAATGACGACGACGACGACGACGACGACGACGACGACGACGACGACGACGACGACGACGGACCCACGACGACGGACCGCGACGACGGACCATGGCGCCCCCGCCGACCCGGGGGGCTCCGAGGGGAGCGCGCGGGCGGCGGCGTGGGCGGCCGCCGCGGGAGGGGGCAAGCTCGAGGGCGGTGGCGCCAGCGACGAGGGCTGCCGGGGGACGGCAGCGGGGAGGACAAGACGGCGGCGAGGGAGGAAGGAGGGAGGGAGGGAGGGAAGGGTGGAGCGAGGGAGGGAGAAGGAGGGAGAGGAGGAGGAGGAGGAGGAGGAGGAGGAGAAGACGAGGAGGAGAAGACGAGGAGGAGGAGGAGGAAGGAGGAAGGGAGGAAGGAGGAGCAGGGACGGAGGAGGAGGAAGAGAAGGGAGGGAGGAGGAAGGGAGGAGGGTAGGAAGGAGGGTAGGGAGGACAAGACGAGGGCGGCGGCGACGTCGGGAACAGCACGACGACGACGAGGCACAACGACGGCTAACCACGACGGCCGCGGCAGCGGCGGTGGCGACCCACAGCGGCGCCGGGCGGGAGGCCTCGTCGTCTCTAGGCCGGAAGAGGTAGAACAGGC